GTGGTGGAAATAAACAGAACCCACTCTTTCAGTTCAAGCCAATGGAAATTTAAGTCTATAAGCAAGCTACGTCGAGGAACTGCTTTTCCCCTGCAACAATGAAATTCTTCCACTGTTGGAGAAAGGGATTTTTTTTTTTGGTTTTGTGCTCAGTCTACTCAAATATGCATGCGGCTCCTATAAGTTTGACTGAGATGTATTTGTAAGGTGCATTGGTTCCCGAATGAAACCCAACAAAGGGCAGTGATGTAGATGTTAATGTTTTTGTCTCAAATTCTCAAGAAAAGCTTGCTTAAAGAGTTTGGAAATCTCTGAACCTTTTAACAGTGTTTCTGTAAACCTTACAAATATGAGAGGGACTGTTTTCTCTTGGTTCTGTTTCCTTTTTTTACCAGCCATAACAGATGGTTTCTCAGCATAGGTTTCTGTAAGTACTAGTGAAATAAATTTGCAGTGTAACAGTGCAGTTGTAAGAATGTTTTTACAGCAATCTGCAGCCTAAGACTAAATTTTTACATGAGAGACACCAGGAGATACCCAGCTCTTTTGAATACTATTTCAGCATTCAAGTACTAGCTGGCATTGATGATGGTTAATCATCAATGATTCATAGTGTTTCCAGGTTTGTTCTTCATCAGTGTGGCCTGTAGCTCTGTTACTTGGGATACAGAGAGGATGCTAGTGAGCAGGGAGTGCTTATTGAGATAATACACATTAATGGCTTCTCAGACCTTAACTGCTCTAAATTTATAATTTAGTAGTATGTTGGCAAGGTGTTGCTTTTAGCATTTTCAGGGGAGGAAGTACTTGAGTTACTTTTTATTTTTTAAGTTTGGACAATTTGATGGTTCAAAAAAAAAAGCATCGTAGAAGTCGTGCACTTTGCATGATTCCTTTGTTTTTTCTGTTGAAGTTGTAGGTTTAACTGTACACACACACATGCAGAGATACTGAGCTAATAAAAGAAAAATCATACCTGCTTTTATTAGGTGGCCCTGTTAAACAGCTTTCTTATCAGTTCATAGAAGATAATAAACAAGGGTGACAGACCAGTGCATTTCCAGTCAGGTTGGAATCAACATAGCATAACTGTATTGTGGTATTCTCACAGGGGTTGGCTTATAGTGAGTGACAACATCTTAAATTCCTTTGAGTGAAATTACTTAAGGCATAACTGTGATAGTGGTATAACTCTGCCATAAGGCCCTCTTAGTGTATTCACAGGCCTTGCAGTTGATCCACAGATAGTAATGATAATGTGAAGAAGTTCATATGACAAAACACTTAGGCACCCTTGCTGTATGAAGTAGATACTACTCTCACTACTCTTCTGTAGATATCCTGTCAGTTGTTTTTGTGTTTGTTTTTTTTTTTAATATTAGTCATGGATGTGTGCTTGTTCTCATAAAAGAGTTGTTCTCGCATGTTTTGCATGCATTGTTGTTCCTTGTTAGTGCCATGCATTGTAGACTGAATCAAGCCACTCGTTTATAGTTAATTTCATATATGTGGCCATGAGATGTGTCCTCTACAAAGCAAAGGAGTTGCTTTCTGTGGCTTGCTGTCTTGGGTGGGCGAGTTCTGCATACATTTGAGAAAATGGAGTGCAGGAAAGTAAAGTGATGTTAAAACCACTACTGTTCTGGCACATAGCAGAGCTTCTAGGATTGTGCTGTACTCTGGCTGAATTAAGGATTAAAGATTGAATATGCGTGTGGGGATTTGAGAATATACCTACAATCTGTCCTGTTTTTTACATCTAGCATTACTTAATGAATATTGATTTTAGTAATGGACTTTTTATTTCTCCTGAGGTCTCAACTACATGGTTTGTTTTTTGACACATTGGGGTTTTTTTTCACTACTTTCACCGTTCCAGCCTTCTCTTCATCTTGGAACCCAAGACTCTAAAACCTGAATCTCATCTCATAGAATGATAGCTCTCTCAGATGTTATTTGTCTGGGCAAATTTTCCTCTCGTTTGCATATCTTTCTAGATATCTGAGGTTGTGGAGGTTTTTTTAGTATAAGTCTGGTTACTGGCCAAACTGCAGCTTTTCTGTAGTTGTTCAGGTTGTAGCTGATGTTGTTGCAGGCCAGGCATCTCAACTACATCTCCAAAAGTTGAGTGAAATCTCATTATTTCAAGCTGCAGTGTTTTTCTTTTCTCCAGTTCTAAACTGGTGTTAATGAGCACTGAGGTCCAAGGACATGTTTTCTTTAAAAAGAATATGGGCCCAATCTGAAACAAAATCCCCTTGTTGCTGTAGAGATGGCTGGAGAGGTTTGAGGCTGAAATGTATGGGTAGTGTTACATATATTGTCCTATCTCATGTGTTTACTGTGATGAAATCTAATAGAATTTATCCCCTCAACTGTAGAGCAGCTGTGTACCTTATTCCCCTCAGATGAAGGCCTGACTATTGACCTGAAGAATTTCCGTAAACCTGGCGAAAAGACCTTCACCCAAAGGAGCCGTCTGTTTGTGGGGAATCTGCCTCCAGATATTACAGAGGAGGAGATGAGAAAGTTATTTGAGAAGTATGGCAAGGCAGGTGAAGTCTTCATACACAAGGATAAAGGCTTTGGCTTTATCAGACTGGTGAGTGATTTGCTGCCTTTGAGGTGTGTTTGTGGCAGTGACTTATGCTGGAGGAGTATTGCTAATTGAAAGTAGTAGATATTTGGGTATTTTGTTAATTAAGCCTTGCTGTTGATTTCAGTAACTTGGAATATGAGATCAGCTTCTACAAGTGGTTTGTTTAGAGTTTGTTATCAGAATGAATGTGAATTCAGGCAGCTTGTGTCAGGATTTATGAGATATTTGATAAAGTTATTCTGAAGTCAGAAAGAAAACATGAACATGATGCTGTTGTAGACAGGGTAGACTTCTGTTTTCTGGAACAATACAAACATGTAATTTCTATGAAAGTAGTTTGCCATGCAGTATTACTGGAGTGATGAATACTCTTGAGGTGGGGCATCTCTAGGTGATTGTGTTGAAGCATGGCTAATAGTTCTTGACTTTATTGGCTCATATACTACCTTTCTAAAAGCCCCAAGGTGAGTGGATGGAGCATGAGGTTCCCACACCAAAGTCTGGGTGCTGTACGGTAGTGTGGCTGTTTCTAAGTGGCTTAAATGAGTAGAAGGATGTGAAACTCCTATAGGATGTCTTTCATGTAATTATTTAAATGTAATTGTTTAAAAAAAAAAGTGGCATGGTTTGTAGCCTTAATATAATTCTGTCTGATAGATGATGATAACTTAATTATTTGCATAGTTTGTACTGGCTGTTGGATTAAGCTTATATCTGATACATATTTCTTTACACACACTCCTCCAACTCTGCATGCCTATTGAGTTAGAGTTGTTGATAAGAGAGAATAGCTTTGGTCTATTAGGACACTTTTTACCATGCTATGGGAGGATTACTTGTTCCTCTCAATGGAGTACTTGTTGAGGCGATATAGGGTTGTGACTGTACTGCACTGAGAGTTTTTTAATAACTTTTTTATCTTCAGGAAACTCGCACTCTGGCAGAGATTGCAAAGGTGGAACTAGACAACATGCCTCTACGTGGGAAGCAGCTGAGAGTGCGTTTTGCATGCCACAGCGCATCGTTGACAGTCAGGAACCTGCCTCAGTTTGTGTCCAATGAGCTCCTGGAAGAAGCCTTCTCGGTGTTTGGCCAGGTGGAAAGGGCTGTGGTTATTGTGGATGATAGAGGACGATCCTCTGGGAAAGGCATTGTGGAGTTCTCAGGAAAACCTGCTGCTCGGAAAGCCCTGGATAGGTGTAGTGATGGGTCTTTCCTGCTAACTACGTAAGTATGGAGGGTGAGGAGGGCTATACTGGCACGTGTGAAGGTTGATGGGTGGCATTGGCTTGTGGGCAATGTTTGTTAACAGAGTGGGACAGAGAACAGATGAGAGTTGGGACAAGAGATGGTAGGTGATTTGGTGGGGGAAAACTTAACTTTATTCCGACAAGAGTGAGCCTATAACTCAGGTCTGGAAACTTTCTTCTGGGAAGCTGCTAGTGGGGTAAGTGTATAAAACTTCTTGGACTCTTTCTCAGTAAAGCCTTCCTAGGGCAATTAAAGCAGCCTTTAAGAACCAGAAGATATTTCAGAGACTACCCATGTAATTTGTTAGAAACAAAGTTCAGGTGTGTTAATTGTGCATTCTGGGTCACTTGACCGAGAGGTGGGTCTTGGGATGGGACTCCACTCAGCAACATACACTGCTGGGTTGATCCACCACTGTGGACATAGGATCTCTTGAAGAAGCTGGACTGATTTGAGTTTTCACCATAATAAACTGTTTTCCTTGTGCTTGAATATCATAAGACAGCGAAGCACATTCTTTTATAATTATGTGAAGTTATTCAAGTAAATGGCTAGTTGTAGATGTGATCCACAGAGCATGGCTTGTTGCTCTATTAAGAGGAAGCTGGTTTTGAACGCTCAGAAATAAAAATCTTGTATGTAGAATTCGTGAATGTAATAACTTTCTGAAGTTGGGGTTGTATTGCTAATTTTGAGAGTAAATTTACAAGCTTTGTGCTTGCTTCTCTCTTTTGTTTGGAGGCCTGCATGTGGCATACCTATACACAGGCACATGCGGTTTCAAAAGGAGGTCTTTGTTGCTTTCTGGGTTTTTTTTTTTGTTTTGTTTTTAATATCTGTTTTTCTCTCTGAGACTGGGGATAACCAGCATAGTGTGCAGTAGAAGGATTGCAGTTAGGGAACTTTTGCTGATTCACAAATCTATAACCTTAAAGAAGCATGAAAATAATTGGTTTTTTTAGGTGGTCGTGCAAAACTAATCACTATGGTGTGTAACGGAGCACCTGAGAGTAACATTCAGTCTTTTTGTAGCTATCAGTGTATTAGATTCTGATACCTATGACAGCAAACCAGTGTGTTGCTTATTTCTAGTTACGGTTTGTTTTTGATTATGTTTGTTCTGGTTTGTCTTACTTTATGACGGTAACAGCTAGATAAACTGGTTGGAGTTGGTTCACATTGGAAAAGAAGACTTAATAATGGAATATGTCACATCAAAGTGAAAAGCTACATTGTAGATCTTCAGCTGAGGGGACAGATTTTAGCTTATCATATCCTGCCTTCCTGCTGGAGCCTGGGCATTGCTTGTTGCTTGGCATAGTGTGATCATTTCTCTTCTGTTTCCCTAGTTCTGGCAGATGGAACTGAGGAGCTAATGGAATGCCATGGTGCTGCTTTTTTCTTAAGTTGACCAGTGTTCATGTTGTGGTGTAGAGCTAATTCAGAGACTGGGGACGCTTCTGATACTGCTGATATTGCTGCTTGGCAATAATGGCACATGGTGATCTTGCCAGGTTAACATGACTGAATGGTACAGCCAGCAGCCTCCAGTGAGAAACAGTGTAGTTATCCTTTGCTTTAGGCAGCTATAGAAAGGCACACAAGGACTTGTGCAGCACATGGTTGGCCATGTAGCAAGGGACAAAAAGTGGAGAAAACAGACTAGAGGCTACGAGACTTCACGCTGAGTAGATCCTATTGGAGAATGTCAGGTTTCAGTTAAGCTGTTAATTTGAACCAGAAACTTCAAGTATTCTTTTAATTTTGGTTTGAATTCACCAAGGTTTTGGATTAACAGTTTATATCCTATTCTAGAAAGAGCCAAAGTGTTCAAAGTGATTTCTGGCTTTTGTACACTACAGGCTCATTCTTGAAAGTACATAATCTTTTCTTTATAGATTCCCCCGCCCTGTCACTGTGGAGCCCATGGATCAGTATGATGATGAAGAGGGACTACCAGAGAAACTAGTCATCAAAAACCAGCAATATCACAAGTATGTGCCTGCCACACGACTTGAGATGAGACTACCTATGGACTCAGACATTGACTGGTGTCTCAGTCCTAGGAGGGTGGCTTCATCAGTGCTACTAAAGGTCCTTCTTTTTTCTGTAAATGTAACCTGACTCTGGAAAGATAATTGTACATTCTGTTGTCTTGCCCTGGTTAGGTGAAAGAAAGCAGTGGGTTCTGATCCACACTGCTGGATAAGACTGACAGCCTCCACATATTTCATAAGTCTGTTTCAGTTGTTGGAATAAAAAGTTGTGTCAGTCTGAGATAACATGAGATCCCCTTGCTCATATAAGAAACTAAAGCAAAGACTCATGTTTCTTCTGCTAAGTATTGTGGAAAGTCTGTAGAGTAAACAGATTTGAACCTGCACTGAAAATTTAAGGAGTTATGTGAATAACGTTACAAGATTGTAGAGCTACACATGCGTAAGACTACAGTCTTTGAAGCCTTCCCGGTCTAATTAGGTATCATGTAATCTGAGCAGTGGGAATTAGTAAACTATGTTTGCTCATGAATTTTTCAAGGAAGAAGAAAGCTTCAGAAGCTGGGAGGCTGCATTAGGTGTAGTCATGTGCTCCAGGTGCAGAAATAAATCTGGGCAGTGTTTGCTTCTGGGATTTCTACCTATTTCTTGTTTGTTACTAACTGTTTAAAGGATCTACCATTGCATCGAACAGGGAAATGTATTTTTCTTGGTTCCTCCTTGCTCTTTTGAAACATTAACTAGGTGTACCTTGTTTGGCAGGGAGCGTGAGCAGCCTCCTCGATTTGCACAGCCTGGCAGCTTTGAGTATGAATATGCCATGCGTTGGAAGGCTCTAATAGAAATGGAGAAGCAGCAGCAAGAACAAGTAGACCGCAACATCAAGGAAGCTCGAGAGAAGCTGGAAATGGAAATGGAAGCAGCTCGCCATGAGCACCAAGTTATGCTCATGCGGCAAGGTACCACTTAAAGATAAATTACAGTATCAGAACATGGCCCTGCAACATGCAAGGGCAGGTAGCTCAGTAGACTGGCTGGAGCCCACTGAAGGTGAGTGGTGGTGTAGCTGCTTGATTTGCAATGAAGCATGATAACAGGGAATAAATGGAGATGCTACCGTGTTGCAAGAGGCTCTTTTATTCTCTTGTGTGTTATGGTTCTAGTTCAGGAGTCGTTAAGAGGTGGCATAGGAGATGAGTTTGTGCTTTTACTGTCATCTCTTACAGATTTAATGAGACGCCAGGAAGAGCTGAGGAGAATGGAGGAATTGCATAATCAAGAAGTACAAAAACGTAAACAGTTAGAACTCAGGTAAGAGGGCAGGTTATGAAATGCTGTGAATCCATAATATTATGGAATAAACCACTTTTTCAGTGCACCTAGTTTTTCACGGTGACAGTTTAATTACTACCTCAAGTGTGGCTGTTGTTTTGGACCTTTTTGTTCATAGGGTGGGTGTACAGTTGTTTTAAGATGGAATCGTTAGGAGTTTCTTCCACTGATCAGTATTTAATGACTTTGAATTTTGTGTCTCGGTTTAGCTCCTTGACTGAGGTAGATAGAAAAATGTGAATCTGCAGTGATTTGGTGGCTTCAGTGTTGCAGACTGGGAAGCCCTGTTCTAGCATCTGTGATTTGAGGGATAACTTAGTCTCAGAGGCTTCTCTCTCTATTACAGCTTTTCGTCCAGCTCCAGGAAGACCTCCAGACTACTGCTGTAATAGAAGGGGCTCGAGAACTGTCTGATATATGTGCATTATGTTGCATGTAGTCAGTACATATTTGGGAGCTGCTGTATACATAGAATCATGGAATCATTTAGATTGGACAAGACCTTTAAGGCCATCGAATCCAACTATAAATCTCATACCGCCAAGTCCAACACTAAACCATGTGCTTAAGTGCCTCATCTACACATCTTTTAAATATCTCCAGGGTTGGTGCCTCAGCTACTTCCCTGGGCAGCCTGTTCCAGTGCCTGATAACCCTTACAGGAAAGAAATTTTTCCTAACATCCAGTCTAAACCACTCCTGGTGCAACTTGAGGCCATTTCCTCTCATACTATCACTTGCGACTTGTGAGAAGAGACCAACACCCATCTTGCTAATGAGGTAGTTGGAAAGAGTAATATGTTCTCCCAAACCTCTCTTTCTCCAGGCGAAACAACCCCGGTTCCCTCAGCTGCTCCGCATGAGACATGCACTTGGATGTGCTCATGTTAGGTTTTGTAATGACTCCTTAAAACTGGAAGTGTTGGAAATGTCTTGGTGTGCATACATGTTTCTGTTTTCATCGTGAGGTACTTAATATTTTACAGCCTCAGCAAAGTAATGTTCTCAAAGTTTTACATTTCCAAACAAGACCCATCAAGCAGCACTACAACACTGTAATGCATCTGTTTGGTGCATGTTTTGCTGAAAATCCTTGGACCTCTTTTGCAGGCAGGAGGAAGAACGCAGGCGTCGCGAGGAGGAAATGAGAAGACAGCAAGAAGAGATGATGAGACGCCAGCAGGAAGGCTTTAAAGGGAATTTTGCTGATGCGGTATGAATGCTTCTATCTTTCCTTTACATCTGGACAGTGACATTAGATTTTTGCCATTCCAGAGCATGAGGCTTTCTCTGAAAGCTTGATTTGTTGGTTGAGGGACTCTATACCTTTAGTCCATTCTGCCCTAATGTTAATAGAGCTTAGTCTGAAAAATAGAGTCCCTTCAATCTTATTACAGTCTAGTCTGGAAAATATAAATACCTCGGTTACTGTTCCACTGATGTTCATATAGGATCCTCACTAGCTGTCTTGCTGTGCAGAAGAATATATGCCAAATACGTGTTCTAACAGTAACAAAGATGTATAGTCCTGAAGTACTGCTACAGAACCCTGTTAAAGTCATACACCTGGCTATAATCCCTAGCCTGCAGTCTTCTTGGTCAAGCTTAGGTGAAATGATCCCAATCAGAGGCACTGCTGCAGGCATGGTGTAATCGCTTACGCTTAAAAGTCAGTTGGTCAAGTATTGTCTTGTAATGTAAAATGTAATCTGCCTTGTAATAGCAGTATCTCTAGTTCTATAAAGAACTGTCTTAAAATTCATTTCCAGTCCTAGAAACTTCCTATTGTGAAGGCAGCTGTAGTGCTGTGGAGGAATAATGGCATTTATGTATCCTAGTGAAAAATTGGCCCCTATGCAAAGTAGCTAAGCATGTCAAACCACAAGGGCCAAAACTGAATGACTGATCTAAATGTGTGAAAACTCTGTGACCAAATGTGTGACTGGCCTAAACACTGTGTAGTAAAACTCCTGATTTCTCTAAATAATAGTGCCTTCATATGATAAATAGTGGCACTGAGACTACAGATAAAATGAGAGCCGTTCTTCAGCTCCCACTGTGGAAAAAGTAGTACCCTCACTGAAGTGAGGAGGCAATCTCAGCTTTGCAGTGAGGGAAATATGTGGAGTGTCCCCCATGATGAATTAATAAAAGAAGAATTGAACTCACTAAGTAGTATTTTAATGCAAGTGACCATGCTGTGTGTTTATGTAAGCTTGTGTTCCTTTCAACAGGACAAGCTGCTTAGAAAGTAGCAAAACTAATTCTATCTAATGTATTACTGCTGCTCAGCAGATTTTTCCATCTAGGTATCAGATATCTTTTTATGATGCTGTTTGGTAAAATCTGCACATATAGCTTTGGTGCTCGATGTTTTACTATGGTTGTGGAAAAACAGTCTTTCAGAATGAGATATTTTAAATAAGATTTGTTTGTTCAGGAATTATTATGTTAAGGTAGCTCAGATCTTTTGAAACTTACCCTAGTAGTTACTTTTTACAGTTTTCAGCATTAAAACCCCAGAACTCACTGAGTTTGTATACGTTTGTATAAATTTTTTAGAAGCCTGATTTTTTTATAATGGCTCTTTTTCCAGAGGGAGCCACCAGACATGCGAATGGGACAGATGGGTATGGGAGGTAAGAGTATTCTGTGGCCACATGTACCTGTGTGTGTTCCTTTCTTCCTTTATAAAATCTGTACATTTTTGAATAGTCTTATTTTATGGGCTTCTTATTTGGAAACTCAATCATAGTAATCTTCTCCCAGTTCAGTAACCGGAATTGTTCATGTGATAGGAAACATAACATAATTTGGGTACAAGGCAATGCTGTACATTTGTGAAAGACTCAGTTCAGTAAGCAAAATATTTGATTGAAGTTGCTATCAGACTCATTGTGTACTTCAGAAGTTTGTATTGATACAGAAACTGGTAAGATGTGGTGCTAGACCTTGAGCCCAGAAAATGATCTTGGTTACTTGATATTTTGACTAAACAGAATTTCAGGCCACACATACAAGAACAAATGAAAAGGTGGTAGAAGTTTAGTGGTTAATGAAGATGGTGACTGTTAGAGTCTGCTATGGTTTCAAATAATACTGGAATGCAAGATCAAAGCTGGTTAATAGACTAGGACTCTTGTTGTGGAATATAGCACTGCTGGGGGCTTATGCACCATTTTGTGACTCTGGAGTGATGAGCAGACCCCAGTCACTGTGTCTTCCCAGGACTATTCTCCAGTTTTCTTCTCTAGGTACCATTGGTATGAACAATAGAGGAGCTATGGGTGGTACCAATGTTCCAGCTGCTGCACCTCCAGCAACTGGTCCTGGAGCTATGATACCTGATGGAGCCATGGGAATGGTAACGTATTTCCATCTCCTTTTGGTACACACCTTTTAAATGCAGATTGTGGTTTCCATTTTTAAGCACTATGCTGCTGAAGTTGAAACTTCATTGGCCACATAGATTTGTTGCTTAACTCCTGTTGAAGTCTTTAGAGGTTAATCTTGCCGTGATACTAGTTGATAATTTTCAAGAAATTGAGCAAAGTTTAATAACTACTTACTTACTTCCGAGACAGATAGCGCTAAAGTGTTTGTTAAAAAGTTCTTAGCAATAATATATAGTTATTTTTTTAAATGGCGTAATAAGCACTTTGTGGAATGAAAGTGTTTTGGGAGTAGATTCTTGCAGGCATAAAGTGAAGCTTTCAGTAATGTTCTATCTGTCACCAGTTTTGAAAACAATTATCTCCTATGCTAATAGGCTAAAATGAGTATGGTAAAGTGACTATGCTAAAATGAGTTCAGCTAACTTGCTAGGAAGTAAAGAACAAAGATTCAATGGAGGTTATGCTTCATAGAATCATAGAATGGCCTAGGCTGGAAGGGACCTTAGAGATCATTTAATCCAACCTCCCTGTCATGGGCAGGGACGCCACCTATCAACTAGACCAGGCAACACATGGGGACCAAGTGGGAATCGAACCCGCGACCTCGGTGTTGTCATTGTCATCAGCACTGCGCTCAACCCACTTATTTATCTGCCATTTTTAATTTCTATTAATTTCATTTTAAACTTTACTGCAGAGCTTTACAATGGACCATGGCTTCTGTGGCATCCGTCACTCCTCTCTGTCAAAGAGAGGATTGATCCTCTCAGTATCAGCACTTCCAGTCAGCAGCAGAAACTACAGCAGTCATAGTGAAGTTTGTTCTGAAAGTTCATCTTCCTTTAGCATTTTATATCAATTGGTCTAATAAATTTCCTGCAAACCTTCCTACTTAGACTTCTTGATCTATCGTGACTGCTATGTCACAGATTTTATTTTTTTTTCTCGTAAAGAACAGTTTTATTCGGCTATGAGCTTTGGTACCTAAGAGGTTAAGGGAATGCATACTACATAAGGAAATTAAGAATGGGAGGTGAGTTCAGATCAGTATTATGAAATAGTAACATTTAGACGAAAAAGCAAGAAGCTGTTTCTCTAATGGTCAGAAATATTAGTACTGTAGATGACAGTTTTCAGAAAGACTATATATACCAGTTATGATGTGCATGTGTCATGTTACATTGCATATGTATGTAATGCTGCTGTAAACCTGTGGACAAAGCATAAATGGAGCCTTAGATCCTGGTGTAAAGCAGCTCTGCTCAGTGTAGTCACTTGGCCCCAGTCTGGGGAAAAAGAAGAGGCAGTCTTTGCCTCCAGTACCTTCCCCAAAGGAAGTACCATGTGCACCATGATGACACTCAAGCGGTGGAGCAGGTTACCCAAAGAGGTTGGACAGTCTTTATTTTTGGATGTTTGCAAGACCCAACTGGATGAAGCTGTGACTAACCTACTCTGACCTCATAGCCGACTCCACTTTGAGCGGCAGATTGGACTAGACACCTCCTGAGGTACTTACCAACCTGAATTATCCTTTGATCATCTTCTCCCTGTTGAAAGCAAGAGGCTGCTCGATAGCACTAACCCCGCTGGAAGATGAAGCAAAGGAATGGAAGTAACAGGATACAATCAGGGCACAAGACCAGTATTGCATACTTATTTTGGAATTGGAGTATTGTGTACACCTGGATTGCGATAGTGCTGTAGTATCAGCTGCCCCTCATTTACATTCGGTTTGGATGAAGTAATATGGTGGACATAGGAAGCTCTTCTTTCCTGGAGTGCATTACTCACGTGCTCCACAGCAGAGTGCTAGTCTGAGATGGTTCCAGTATGCTTGGCTACATATTATGTGGGGAAGAGACTTGGTCCTGCTGTGGTCCTATCAGTGCAGCTTTGGGGATATTTTTGGTGGGGTGAAGGTTAGTAGTGAGGTCAGCTGGAATTGTGGAATCCTAGTAGAATTCTCATGTGATTTGTAACTGCCCTTTCTTCCTTGTTTTTCTTCCTGCTGCTTCTGCATTTGTCCTCGTTACAAGACTCCACCACCCCCTGCAGATCGCTTTGGCCAGGGCAGCGCAATGGAAGGCCTCGGAGCAATGGGAGGGAACCCACCTGCCTTCAACAGAGGAAATCCAGGGGGTGATTTTGGCCCTAACAAGCGTCGCAGATACTAACAGGATTAAAGCTACCCCCTGCACACACCCCAAAGAGGAAAGGAATCTTGGCAGACCATACAGGGTTCAGCTAGGGGGAGGAGGAATATTAAAAATAGTTAATTAGGGCCTTTTTTTGTAAAGCTACTTTAGGACAAGGAGAGTGCAGCCTGACTGGTAAAGGTTTTAGAAAATTTAATGTGGTGCATTCCTATAATTTCAGTATGAAAAATGGATTCTGGGAGGCTGCCATGGTTGTTCAGTAAAGTTAAAATCAGGCAAGGATCCTAATGCCTCGACCATTCCAGGTTTCCTATTTGCAGTTGGAGGCCTGAAACTAAACTAGATAAAATTGCAGTATGTCTTGGCATTTTTTTTGGCATAGTGTACATTGCTTGAGAGCACAGGGAAGTCTCTGGAGAACTAGGGCAGCATCTGGGGGGCTTTGCAGCCCCCACGATTCTGTAAATTTATGTAGTTCCAAATGATCTGTCATGTAGTGAATCAGGGGAATTTTTATGTTAATTTTTTTTTTTTCCTTCTAACGTGTAGTTATTCTTCTTATCTGGACCACTTGTTTCTTTAAAGTAGTTGACTGCCATGTGCAGTCTGAATGGCTGGGAGGCTTTTGTTTGGATGGATTTTTTGATAACGTGTTGTATCACTGTTTATTTTTACTGGTAGTAAAGTACAATCTATTGGACAAAGATACTGTATCTTATGCTGAGGATTTAACTGAAACATGTTTGTATAACCTTAACCTTGCCTGTCTTTTGTGTAGAAGTACTACAAGATCTTTCATTTAGTGTAAACTGTTTGAACCCAAGCTGTAATTGTCCCACTAACAATTTTGAGTTTGTCTGAGGAATGTTGCAAGAATGCATTATTAAAGTGGATTTTAAGCCTTTTTTATCTGGTGTGTTGTTTTGGGTTTTTTTAATAAAAAAGTGTACATGTGGATTGAAGTCAATCAAACTTAGATTATGGCACTTGAGTTCTTGGAACTGCTCTTTCTATAAAGAGGATGTTCAGACCGTGAGAATTTTCTAACAGTTCCCCTTGTCACAGAATGAGTTTTATTTGTGTGGGGGAATGAGACCTACAGCTTCAGTGTCTCAGAATAGGAGGGAGCTCTTGATGAGCCTGGGATGTGTATATTGTAGATTCAGAGAAGCTATACTCAAGACTTGTTCGTATGTCACTGAGTATGGAGTTCAATTTGTGTGTTACCTGCATTAGTACAAAGTTGACTCTTTTTTCTGCCATGTGTTGCAGTTGCCTCTGGCTGCAATGCAGATCTTCCTGCAGAGGTATGAACTCCTGTGCTGGGGCAGGAAGTAGAGGCCTTGTAACTTGGTGGCAGCAGTAATGCTTTATCCTGTGTAATACATGAGGGAATCTGTATGGACAGGAACCTTCTGTGAGTTGTGTTCTTGAGCTGAAGCTCTTGAGTTGAGATTGGGGAGAGGGGAGCAGAGAGAAGCTTAGAAGGAAATTTAGGTGGAAAAGAGAGGGAGAAAGTTAGCCTAAGAGTGTAAGGAGCTGCCTTACAGACTTTAAGAAATAGTAGGGAAGATGAAAACATTTTCAGATGCCTGATGTTACCAAGGCAATAACCTTAAAAAAAAATAGGGTTTGGTCCTGTAGGTACTCTGTAAGAAGGTGAAGCTGTGGTTTTAGCTGGAGCCATAGTTATAGCCAGAACTATAGTTTTAGCTGATGTGTAGGAGACTTAATATGCTTGAGCAAGCAGAATCAATAGGAGGATGTAGGTGTGAGACCAAGGTATTCTAGAAGGGGAGCTTATCCCCAATGACAGGATGCTCTTATCTTCAAAGACAGAATGCCCCAGGACTCCCAAATGCCCTCAAGATATACAGAACAACCCTAGGCCAGCCTTGGGAGTCTCTTAACAAAGACAAAGAGTTAACTTAATGGAGCCCATCAAGAGGACACCCCGATGAAGATGATCGTGAGGAAGTAAAACGGCCACCAGAGACCCCTGATGACCACCAAAAGACTATATTGCATATGCGGGAGTGGGCACCAACATATGTTAATGAGTTCTTGGAAATTGTATGAATATGTGTATCTAAACTGTGTAAGCTACACATGCATTTAGCCCTTCACAGGGAAGACACTAGGTGTATCCCCTGTGTGCCCAGCACTGCAATAAAGAATACCTGCTTAATAGACATCAAAGCTATTAAGTTCTGATTTCAGCCTTTTCATGGCATCATAG